ACTACTACTACTACTACTACTACTACTACTAGTACTACTACTACTAATAATAATAACTACTAACTACTACTACTACTACTACTACTACTACTACTACTACTACTACTAGTAGTACTACTACTACTAGTACTACTATTATTACTACTACTACTACTACTACTACTACTACTACTAGTACTACTACTACTAGTACTACTACTACTACTACTACTACTACTACTACTACTGCTACTAATATGATGGCTTTTAGGGGGACGGTTACATGCTCTAAATCGCTGGGCTCCAAACCTACTACGGAAACATCCAAAGCCCAGAGCCCTTCTGAACAATCCTTACTAGGGAGGGTCGGAGGACTTAGTAGTGAGTTATTGTATTAGAGCTATAAGTACCCCGAAAGGGGGCCTAATTGGGGTTCTGGTATGTCTTCCAAACAACTACATCCTGAGTTCCCCGACCCTCCTACTATCCCTAGGACTAAGGACATACTCTTCTTTGGGCTCCGAATTCCTTATACAAGTCCTTAAAACGGTAGGTTACTTGAGGACTGAGCACACCTGTAATCCGCCCAGAGTCCACTGTGGGTATTTGTCCTCGACCAGCTGCAGTGTCAGCGCCCAGAGGCAGGCAAGCCAATGGCACATCAACCCTGGCGCCAGACACTAAACCCGGAACCCTGAACCCTTAGTGTAAGGAGTGTTTGGGCTAAGGCTACATCAGCCCTCTCTTAATGATTTTATGTTGGTTAAGGCATAGGCTTTCATCTTAAAGTAATGTATGGGCTTTAATCATTAGAATAGGGTTTTAGGGCCCATTATACTATACGTACCCGGCCAAAAAACGCAACAAAGCCAGGGCCCGTTTGGCTGCTATGCAGTCGTAGTAGAGAAACCCAGGCACATGGGTAGTTCTCTAAAATAGGGTCCCTTTTAGGGTCCTTCTTAAAGAGTGCCGTACTATATTTGGAACCTAATTTAAAGAACTACCCACATGCAAGAGGCCTAAGCTCTAAATTCCTACGCCCGAAGCCCACCACATGGCAATTTCTTAGCGACCTGGGCCCCGTTACAAAGAACGTAAGCCGAGTACATGGCTTTTCGGAGATCTCTTTGGAAGAAGTAGGCTTAGGGTTTAGGGTTTAGGGTTTAGCGGTTTAGGGTTTAGGGATAGGTTTTTTGATTGAAGATCCCCCATAAAACAAGCCATAAGCGAAACAAGCACAACACGATAAGCAATTCCCCAAAGCCTCACACAGCTTGCTTTAGGCTTCAACCTTCTTCGGTCCAGAGTTGGATGCCTCAGCCCCAAATCCAAGCCCATAAGCTGTCCGACACCCCTAAACCCAAAACCCTTAACCCTAAACTCTAAACCCTAAACCCCCGAAAGCGTAAGCTTCCCTCCTAGAACCCCAAACTCATCAACACCCCACCGCTGGTTCGAGGAAGTTTTGATTTGGCTTGTGGGGTATTCAAAGGATTGCAAACATTCTGTCGTCTCGGCAAGATGGGGCCCCACTCCATACACGGGTAGTTTTCTAAATTAGGGTGCCTTTTGGGGTCCTTTTCATAAGGGTGCCGTACTATTTTGGGACCTAAAAAGGGGACCCTAACTTAGAGAACTACCCACATGCATGCATAGGAAATTTAGAAACCTGTAATGGTGCTTGAGATCACTTTTGTCAGACTGCTGGTGCCCTCAACCTGCATCATCATGACCATCACCCCCACCTCATCAGAAGGTAAGCAAACCGCTTCATTTTTGGAGATCCAAACAAAAGCAGCCATAAGTCACCATGAACCCCACCCTAAACCCTAAACCCTAAACCCTCGACCCCAAGAAAGCAAAGCGCAAAACAAGCCCCAAGGAGCCCTTAAAGCCACACTCACCGCAACGATCCGGAGGTTTCCCAGTATACCATGAAATAATGAGACGGCCCGCTTTTAGGGTTTAGGGGTTTAGGGTTTAGGGTTGAGGGTCAAGTCTTGTAAGGGGGTCGCCCCAGACAGGAGAATATACTCAACACCACCACGCCCTAGGTCATAATGAACGGGCTGACTGTTCATGTCTGTAAGTGCTCCTGATTGCCGGAGCATCAAACCCTCTTCTGGAAGTCCCCCAATTCCTAGATTCAAGACTCTTTTAACCCTAAATCCATCTTCCTAAAGCCTAAAAGTCCTAAACCGGAAAAGCCCTAAACCCTAAATTTAAACCCGTCTAAACCCTAAACCCACAAAGCCCTGAACCCTCGCTCCTCTAAAAACCCTTCTGTAAAGGACCCGAGCCGGGCCTAAGACCAGGAGGAAGCGTCCCAAGGCGAGTTGCTGATAGGGGATGGATCGAAGAGCCTGCAACATCTGCATCTTTCGGGGTTTTTGGGGTTCGCTGTTTAGGGTTTAGGGGTTTAGGCTTTAGGGTTTAACTTAACATGCCGCAATCGGTTTTCTTTTTTTTTGGTAGGCTCCTATTCTAAACCCAAATATGGAATTTCCAAGGCACCGTAAACAAAAATAGGTTTTGGTAGGTTCAGGGACTGTGGGCGGGTTTAGGGCCTAAGCCCTAAACCCTAAACCCCTAAACCCTAAACCCGAGGGTTTGAGGTCCTGGGCCGCAGGGTCCGAGGTTTCTAGAAGTGGGACCGTTAGGGTTGAGAGTTTAGGGTTTAGGGTTTAGGGAATCACGCTATAGAGGTCTGAATAATTACCCATATTATTCTGGAGGTTCCTAGCTATAGGTATAGTATAATGGGCCTATAGAGGTCTGAATAATTACCCATATTATTCTGGGGGTTCCTTACTATAAGTATAGTATAATGGGCCCCAGCACCCTCTAATTATTAAGGCCCCTATATTACCCATCCCCATTAGCTTTCCACCCTCCTTACCTTGATCGGGTTGAAGGTTCTCTTTTCCTTCTTTGACACCACTTGGTTTATCGTACAAGTGTCCGCTGCAGGGTTCAGGGTCTGTCGCCGCAGCGATGCAAGTCTCCTTTGATTTGGGCATGCGCGAAGACTGCAGATTGATTTGGAGCTGGCTGCCGCAACAGATGGAAAGCAATAGAGGGGCCTGAAAAATCCGAGCAGGGTGTCGTGGCGAGTATGCTACACTTAGGCTAGGAACCCTAAGGAATAGTCATAGCAAGTACTCAGGCGTCTATGCTAGCCCCTAAACCCCGAGCTAAACCCTTGCAGGACCCCTTTAAAGGAGCCCTTCTAGAACTCTGATACATTCCTTAAAAGAACCGCTAAACACGAATATAGGGGCCTTAATACTTAGAATAGGGTTTGGGGCATACTTATACTGTAATTATTATGAGGATGAGGAGCCCCTCATTAGTTCTGGTAATTATTTATTTAAGCCCCAATTAGACGGCTTTTCTCCTGCGAGACGCTGGGACAAGGATGTATGCAGCGGAGGTTTGGAATTCTTGCAGCCAGCCCTAAACCCCTAAACCCCTAAATCCTAAACCCCTAAACCCTAAACCCTAAACCCTAGACCCTAAACCCTAAACCCTAAACCCTAAACCCCTAAATCCTAAACCCCTAAACCCTTAAGGCTCCTTGGGTCTTTGTCGCCAAAGGTGTAGGGCTTGCGGACTTCGGGTTTGAGTGGTGTAGAAGTTTGGGCTTAACTGGGTTCCTGTTAGGGGATGCAACAGAGGGTTTAGGGTTTAGGGTTTAGGATTTAGGGTTTAGGGTTAGGTTACTACAATAAAAACCATGTTATTCACTATAGATCCTTATTATAGTAGCTTAAATTAAGTTGTCTCAACAAGAACCCAGCTTAAGGGTTTAGGGAGGGCTGCTTTAAGGTTCGAAAGGCGTACTGTAAGGGTTCTTTACCCGCAGGCTCCGCTTTCCTAGAACGTGGCTCTTCCTGAAACCGTAGCCCTGCACCAAGCCGAAGACTAAAGCAGATACAGAAACCGTGAGATCACCAAGCCGCCCTAAACCCAAGACCCTAAACCCCAGAACCCTACACCCTCAGCCTAAACCCAAACTAAGACCCTAAGCCGCTAAGATCTAAACCGCTAAACCCTAGACCCTAAAAGCCACTGTCAGAAGGCAGACAGCAGAGGGAGCCTCTTGCTCCTCCATCCACAGAGATCGCCGCGCGAGCCTTTTCAGATGATTCCCTTGCCGGGTTCTCAAGGCTTCGGGTTTATATTGCGCTTGCTTGCTGTGCGGGGTGCATTTTGTGAGTCTCGCAAGCAAGGAAAGCCCTAACCCCTAAGCCCTAAACCCTGTAAACCCAAAAAGCCCTAAACCCTATAAACCCAAAAAGCCCTAAACCCTATAAACCCAAAAAGCCCTAAACCCTATAAACCCAAAAAACCCAAAACACCCCAAACCCTAAACCCCTTGGCCCCTGTGGCTTTCTCCAATTTTGTTTTGGGCTGGGGGACCTGTGAGGCTGAGGCTGGGCCGGGGGGGAAAAGCCGGCAGGCTTGGAAAAGGTTTAGGGTTTAGGGTT